AGCATGCCTCCACGTACTCCCGGACCTCCGGCTCCATGGCGGGCCACCAGAACCTCTGCGCGATGGCAAACATGGTCCGCCGTACGCCCGGATGCCAGGTGAGCAGGGACGAGTGAGCCCAGTGAATCACCTGAGGGCACAATTCCACGGGGACAAACAGCGGATTATCAGGACACCTACGAGGTGGAGGGGTCACACAGTTCAGTGGGAGGATAGGCTCAGGTGCCCTGGCCACCGACTCAGGGCTGAACAATCGTGATGGCTTGGTGTTCCTCGCCCCCGGTCTGTAAGATAAAGAAAAATTAAAGCGGTTAAAAAACAATGACCATCGGGCTTGACGCGAATTGAGTCGCTTGGCTTTCCTAATATATTGTAGATTTTTGTGATCTGTCCAAACCAAAAACGGGTGCTGAGCCCCCTCGAACCAGTGCCGCCATTCCTCCAATGTCGCCTTCACTGCCAGTAGCTCCCGGTCCCCCACGTCATAGTTCCGCTCTGCTGGCGTCTATCGGCGGGACAAAAAGCCACAGGGGTGAAGCTTGTGGTCCCCTTCGGCTCGCTGGGAGAGGATGGCCCCGATCCCCTCGCTGGAGGCGTCCACTTCCACCACGAACTGACGAGCCGGGTCGGGGAGTGTGAGGATGGGAGCTGTGGTGAATCTCCACTCGAGCTCCCGGAAGGCTGCGTCTGCGTCGGCCGACCAGCGGAACGGGACCTGTGTGGGAGTGAGAGCATGGAGCGGGGCTGCTGTCGCGCTGAAGCCTCTGATAAACCGCCTGTAGAAGTTCGCAAAACCGAGGAATTGCTGCAACTTCTTGCGGTTATCAGGTGTAGGCCAATCGGCTACCGCACTTACTTTAGCCGGATCCATCTGAACCTTTCCAGGAGCTACGATAAAGCCCGGGAAGAAGACAGTAGTGGCATGGAACTCACTCTTTTCCGCCTTGACATATAGACAATTAGGAATCAGGGGAGACAATCGACAGGAGACACCAGAGGAAGGGCAAGGCACCTGAAACAAGAGTGGGTTTAGACGCCACAATAAAACAGGAAGTATCAAAATCAGACGTAAGACGGGACACAAACACAAACTTAACCAACATGTATGACAGATGTGACGGTTCTGGTTCTACAAGCTGAACAGACTGAAAGTCCTCTGAGGTTCATTTGTAATCTGCCATTTTGGGTTTAATGAATGAATTTAATTGAAATACCAAACGAATTGATCAAAGTCATAATGACAATAACAATAAATAATAACAAACAATAATAAATGTTTCATTTACAGGAGTTAAATTTACAGGTGAAATCTGTTTAGCTTTTATTGTGAAGGAGAAACAGGAAGTGTTAGATGATCATTGTGAGGAGATATCAGACTTTATTCCTTAAATAGGACTTTAACCTTCATCAAAATGTTGAAGCTTGTTCATGTTTTAATATAAGTTTCTTTAACTTGTTTCATTCTTGTTCTTCCTGAATGAAGCAACAACAAACTGCAGGAAACTTTGAGGCTCGTGTGAATAAAGACGAATAAATCATGAGTCGTGTTTGTGGCTCAGCTGGAGGAGGAACGTCCACCTGAGATGTGGTTTTAGATCTTTGTCAAACGCTTCCTGTTCTTCTGATGGTTTTTGTTCAGGCTGCAGGAAGCTTTGCTCACTGTGGATCCTACAGGCGCAGTAGTAGGAGGCTGAATGAGTGAGATCAACCTTCTGGATCTCCAAATCACAGCCATACTCTTTCTTCACAGCTGTGAAATCATCTTTCTGAGGATGATTGTACGACTTATCTATGGATCCACTTCTCTTATTAATCCGAAGAATCCATGTGAATGTTCCTGTGTCTCTCTTCTGGTACCAATGTACATAATAAGTGGAGCACTGGTCGGTTCCTCCACAGCTGAAGGAGACTTTCCCACCAACTGTCCTGGTCAACGTCAAATCCTCCTGAATCAGCTGTGCTGCCATGGCAACCAGCGCTGCAGACAAACAGACAGGTGATGAAGGTGCGTCGGAGGCGGAGCTTGTCGAGTGGCTGCAAACACTCACCTGAACTCAGGGCGCACAGAGCAGCAGCAGGGAGGGAAAGCATCGCGTGCATCGTGTTTCCTCTGGTGAACACGAGCAGAAGTGGAGCTCTGAAGCAGCTGGAGGACGAGCTGAGAGGAGGGAGGCGGGTCCTCACACCTCCACCAGCATCCGGTCAGGTGCTAAAGCTGCTCCTCACACAGAAGAACCAGAGCAGCTCAGAGACGATCTGGGACTCTGTGAGGAGGAGGAGGAAGAGGAGGAGGGGGAAGGGAAGGAGGAGTGGGAGGAGGAAGAGGAGGAGGAGGGGGAGGAGCAGGTGGAGGACGAGGATGGGGAGGTGGAAGAGGGGGAGGAGGAAGAGGAGGAGGAGGTGGAGGAAGAGGAGCAGGAGGAGCAGGAGGAGGAAGAGGGGAGACGGGACGGGAGGCGACTGTCACGGAGGGACGTTGACTTTGTATTTGGTGAAAATCATTTTAAAAGCAGCAGCACTTTACTTTGTTTTCATGTTGTTCCTGTTTTATTAAGAACCACATGGAGGGCTGCTGTGTGGACACGAAGAACCACTTTCTACGTGCACGTAACGTTAGCACGCGTTAGCCCGCAGTGAGCTAACAGCGGCTACACGCGCTTGGACGTGTCCCCGTTAGCTAAGCTCAGCTACGCATCAAGGACACGTTGGAATGGACCCCGTGGGCCTGGTTCTCTCTGACTGAGGGACTGTGGTCGACACCAGTCAGCGGGGCGATGATGTTCACCACTGAAGCCACTAGAGGGCGCTGCGCTCCCAGGACAGCTAGCGACACGTGACGAGGGAAACAGGAAGTGGCGTTGCTCTCTGCATGTGACTGTGCAGCTTAGCATGTTGAACGTCGTCTGTGTGCAGAACAGAGAACGTACATTGAACTGTGTGTGTAAACAACATAGTTTGACGCTAAAGGTGTCGATGTTGTTTCGGTCGATGATTCCAGATGTTGTTCATGTGAGAGCTGCTGATGACGCTCTGAACCTTGTACCACACTATGCATAGTCATCATTTTAAGGCTTTGACTCCAGTTTGTTTTCTCCCCTTGATCATATTGGCAGGACGGTTACTACTGCAGGTGTTTGTGTGCAGAAAATATGCATCAAGTTTACTTGTGAAACGTTGAAAGGGATAAAGGGATAATCGTACACTGGAACTAGTTCATAATCACAAAGTGGAACAGCTCCATTAACTCTGCTCTCTACCCAAGGAGTAGTCACGGATAAGGAGCCCTACATTTAGTGTTGTGTCTGGTGTCATTACATCTCACCCGCCTACATCAGCTTTGGAGGATTAAGACGCTGCAGGTAACTCACCTGCACCTGAAGCAGGAGGTACTGTGTGTACATTCCATGTAGCACAATGACAAAGAAATGCAGTTTAACGTGAGGTATTTATTCATGTGATGAATCACTCCGACCTAAATGAAGACATATTAGCAGGAGATCGTCTACAATACGTGAACAAACGAGGCAGTAGCGATAATCATAATGAATGTGTTTGGTCTCAGATCCTCCAGGCAGAAGAACACGATGAGGACACAGATGTTCCTTCATAAGAGCTCAAGCGGCATCTTGGAACGATGAAAGGTGACAAAACATGTGACCAAGACCGGATTGAACGACGGGCAGGCGTCTGCGTGTGGTTGTTAGTTGCGTTCGGGCGCCGCGTCCTCCCACGCAGCTCCCTACACCCACCGACCCACGTACAGTCCCATCGCTCACGACCCCCAAATAGGGGCCGAGGTCCTGAACCCGGCGTGATGGAGGACGCATTGGAGCGTCTTTGGACGGAGCGATGCTGCGAGGTGAGTGATCTCCATTGAGGATGCGTAGGGCGAAGTTCAGGTGTCCCAAAGGGAGAGAAGCTGGCGTTTGTTACCACGTGCGGCAAGAAGGAAGCTGAGTGCTAAAACTCAAAGAGGAAAATCACGGTCGGGAGGTAGTACGTCTTTAAGGGGTGTGGTTTGGGGAGGAGCTTGAGGAGCGGTCTCGGCCAATCCCTGAGTTGAACCTGCTGAGGACGCAGACGTGTTGAATATTGTTGTATTTTTTCAATGTTTTTATGAATTCTTCAAGATCTCTTTTGGATTGAAAAAAATATTTCTTTGAATATTATTTATGTGACAACATATTATCCCACTGGTTCCCTCAAAATAACATTTTGATTTCTTCCCCCGGAATTGAGAAAAACAGATAAGATAAGTTTCTGTTTCCATTATTTTATGTCATTATATTGGTAAGTATTGTCTTTTTTATGTGGCAAACACAGATTTCAGCCTTCACTTATTTCATTGCATAATTTTTCTAATTTTTTTTTTTAATATTCTTTTGAACATTTTTCTATATTCTTTTTAGTGGTTGAATATTTTTTAAATATTCTCCTGAACATGTTTCAGAATATTTCTTTGAATATCCAGCATCTTCTGCTGAATTCAAACAAGCTGTTATTGACTCACTGTCATAGTTGGTAAAGTCTTCTGACGTCTAACTGAAGATCCCGGAGCGATGGTCCACCAGAGGAGATGCTTGTAACTGTCGCCGTGTGGCTCCTGTGAGAACGTCTCTGCAGAAACCACACAGCATCTGCTGCAGGAGAGGAAGTGGTGACGGGCTGTGAGCAGCTCGTCATGAGAGCTAATAACCACAGAGAACGTCTGCCACGCTCACCAGCTCCTCTTCCTCTCCTCTCTTCCTCTCTGGAGGCCTTTTGTGCACCCAGAGACCTCCGCTGACGACCCACCTGGAGGTCTTCACCGTGTGGACGAGACCCAGAATCCTCTGATGAAGCTTCTGGTCGGAGGTCCGTGGTCCAGGAAATAGATCCTCCTTCAGGTGGAGACACTGGAGTGACTTTAAGAGTGAAAGCGTTAAAACGGGAGCAGCTCTGAATCAGGAGCTGTGGTTTGTTTCTGTATTTCCATCATTGAAGGAATTAGTCCGGTAACATTGTGTCTGTGTGTTTTTATTTATTTCATAACGTGTTCAACACATGAAGAAACAAACACAAAGAACATCAACAGACTTCATCAATATTCCGTATAAAAGCAACTCAACAAACAGATAATCAACATTCATTTGAAGGAAAAGAAGAATATTTAACAGACAGCTGATGATTCAGCATCATGTTGTTTTATATCAGATATTTAAGTAGAAATACTCCAACTAACACGAGAAATGATTTACACGGATCTACTGCAACTATTGGTAGAATACACACATGTATGTGTTCATGCCTTTAGGATGATGGTGTTCAACATGTGAAGATCAGCAGATGTTTGCTGATCAGAGGGACAAACTGATGGGAGGAGATGAGGAGAGAAGTCCTACATGCGAGCCGTGTTCCTGAGGACCATCACCAGAGAGACTCCACAGCAGAACACCAGGCTCTTCACTATCAGCACGACGTACAGCCGGCACAGCAGCTTCACCTGGTACGGAGACGGGCCCGGAGCTGACGGAGGAGCTGAAACAGAAAAGCAGGGACTGGTTGTGAGTGAGGAGCATCAGGAGGAGCCTCCTCTGCTCCTCTGCTGTCTTTACAGCAGCGTCTCCACGTGAAGATGAAGATGATGACCTGTGGTCACCTTGTTCGCTCGGGGCCTCCACCTTTCCCCCCTCGTGGTGGACGTAGCAGCGGTATCGATAGCGGCTGGTCTCCTGCTGATGGAGCAGCAAGATGGAGGCGGTGCGTCCGGACTCTGTGAACTCCAGCTGCTCTGCATCATCAGGGACCTTCTCCTGCAGAGAACTGTGCTCCTCACGTCTCCTCCAGGAGAACCGGACCAGAGGAGGAAACATGGAGGAGGCCACACACAGCAGGGAGCTCCTCCCCTGCAGGTGGGCGCTGGATGCTGCTGGGTACACGCTCACCACGGGCTTCACCACCGGCTCACCTGAAGACATAAATAACACGACGTCATGTGATGTAACCTACAAGAATATGATGTAAAGTAACGTGAATGATGTATTATGATACAATGTAATATAATGTAATATAATACAATGTAATACAATGTAATATAATGTAATATAATACAACGTAATATAATGTAATATAATACAACGTAATATAATACAACGTAATATAATGTAATATAATACAACGTAATATGATGTAATTTGATGCAATAAAACAATATGTTTTAATACAATATTACATTACGTTTTACAACATTGCATAACGTAATGAAATATAATATAAGTTTACATTACATTATATTATGTAACATAATAGAACACAAAATAATGACTAAATTGATAATCAGCACAGCACAGAGTTCACTGCACACAGAATGTGTTCACCTGAATTCTATTATTACAAATACTACATTACAACAAAATATGATTAAATGATAATTTCTTAATTTTTCTGTAAAATGATTTTACACAAAATATAACAGATCATTTAAAAATAAAATGTGTCATAAAACGTAAACCTTTATTAATATAACATGTATCAAATTTGACTAATATCTTTCCCAATTAAATAATAATTCTAATAATAATTATGAATATTGTGACGCTTAAAAACAAAAATAATTATAAGACACAACCCTAAAAATACTTTTTATTTTTTTTACAATTCTGACAGTTGAACCAAATTAGTAAAAAAACACATTCTCTGCTGTACGGAGATAAAATAAAACCTAATTTATTATCAGAGGGAAACACGTATGATCTGATGATTTACGGTCACGCTAACAGAAAGCCAACAAACATTCTAATGACCTGCATATTTTAGTCTTTTTCTAAAATACAATCTTCATTTCAGTTACTGTCGTTATAACAATACTATTTATTTATCCAGCTTCCAATTTACTCTTGTTACTACTACTACTAATAATAATACCTCGATTAAAAGCCTAACAAATTGTAGCAATTAAATTGTACTTATGTCACTTATCTACAGCAAATTGTAAATTGGCTTATTTAATGAAATTGTTCCGTCTTGTTTCTTGTTCCTCTGAGTTTGTGTCCTTATGGTTAAAAGACTTATTGTAAGTCGCTTTGGATAAAAGCGTCAGATAAATGACATGTGATGTGATGTAATACTAATAATAATACTAATAATTTGTCTTAAAAACAATATACCGTCACTTAAAATATTAACGGCACGTATTTACTAATTCTATCATAGTAGATTATATTATTATTAGAGTATATATATATTTAAAGTAATACATATACAGTTTGAAAACAAGGATCGTTTTTATTTAATATACTTTCTGATTTAAGATAAAGCTCAATAACTGAAAGGATCAGATTCTGTATATTTTAAATACATTTCAATGTTTACAATTTCTCTCTAAATAACTTTAATCTTCTGCAGGAATAAAGAATAACTCAGTAATTTTTATCATTATTGATGCACAGCAGCTGCACGGGATCAATATTTATCTACTAATGATGAAAACATTAATATGTGAAGCATCGTGAACTCATTAAAATCACATTTTCAACTTGTTCAGTGAAACAACTGAAGGAATTAAACGTTTATTCTTACCTGTTACGTACAGTTTGGTCCCAGAGCCAAAGATTAAGTAACCATAATAATGGTAAACACCATCATCATCATAATAATCACTGTAAAGATCATAATCCCACAGTGAAAGAGAGCGAGACAAAAACCTGCTGAGGACGAGTCGATGAGCCGGAGTCACATTTCATCTCCAGGACGAGTTTCTCATTTCTTCATATTAACGGTTTCTTCTTTTCTTTCTTCTTAAACTCAGTAAAACACAACGTCTCCGAGGACACGTTCATGGTCCTCAGAGGACGAACCCAGCGCACTTTGGTGAGTTTGTAGCTGTTTAGGACAAAAACAAATAACGGATCAACAAGGACACATTTCTGTTTAACTTTGATGTATTAAAGCTTGAATAAACATCATTGGTGGATTTATTGACATTTAAACATGAATATTGTTTAAAAGTGATTCTGGTGATTCTGATGTTTGTAATTAAGTTTGAACTTATTTAACTTAGACTTTTCTTTGTTAGTTCACAGGTATTAATATGAGGATTCATCCTCTGGGGACCACGAACATCTTCTGCAGATCAAATCAGACCAGAACTTAAGCCAAAGGTCCCACAGAGAAAACCTTCATTAACCCGATGTGACGGTTCTGGTTCTACAAGCTGAACAGACTGAAAGTCCTCTGAGGTTCATTTGTAATCTGCCATTTTGGGTTTAATGAATGAATTTAACTGAAATACCAACCGAATCGATCAAAGTCATAATGACAATAACAATAAATAATAACAAACGATAATAAATGTTTCATTTACAGGAGTTAAATTTACAGGTGAAATCAGCTTTTATTGTGAAGGAGAAACAGGAAGTGTTAGATGATCATTGTGAGGAGATATCAGACTTTATTCCTTAAATAGGACTTTAACCTTCATCAAAATGTTGAAGCTTGTTCATGTTTTAATATAAGTTTCTTTAACTTGTTTCATTCTTGTTCTTCCTGAATGAAGCAACAACAAACTGCAGGAATCTTTGAGGCTCGTGTGAATAAAGACGAATAAATCATGAGTCGTGTTTGTGGCTCAGCTGGAGGAGGAACGTCCACCTGAGATGTGGTTTTAGATCTTTGTCAAACGCTTCCTGTTCTTCTGATGGTTTTTGTTCAGGCTGCAGGAAGCTTTGCTCACTGTGGATCCAACAGGCGCAGTAGTAGGAGGCTGAATGAGTGAGATCAACCTTCTGGATCTCCAAATCAAAGCCATACTCTTTCTTCACAGCTGTGAAATCATCTTTCTGAGGATGATTGTACCTCTTATCTATGTCACCATTGCTCCTATCAATATCAAGAATCAGTGTGAATGTTCCTGTGTCTCTCTTCTGGTACCAGTATACATAATCATCATAGCACTGGTCGGTTCCTCCACAGCTGAAGGAGACTTTCCCACTAACTGTCCTGGTCAACGTCAAATCCTCCTGAATCAGCTGTGCTGCCATGGCAACCAGCGCTGCAGACAAACAGACAGGTGATGAAGGTGCGTCGGAGGCGGAGCTTGTCGAGTGGCTGCAAACACTCACCTGAACTCAGGGCGCACAGAGCAGCAGCAGGGAGGGAAAGCATCGCGTGCATCGTGTTTCCTCTGGTGAACACGAGCAGAAGTGGAGCTCTGAAGCAGCTGGAGGACGAGCTGAGAGGAGGGAGGCGGGTCCTCACACCTCCACCAGCATCCGGTCAGGTGCTAAAGCTGCTCCTCACACAGAAGAACCAGAGCAGCTCAGAGACGATCTGGGACTCTGTTCAGGTCCTTTATCATCATTTCATCATCGAGTCGGCAGGAACACACACATCCGTGTTTCTGTGGAAACTACGAAACGCTTTATTTCATTTACTGTGTGAGATCCTCACTTTGCAACCTTCTGTTTGTGTTTCCTGAATCCATGTTGTTTAAAACAAGATACATGTTATTATTATCTTTGAATCTGAAATGAAGACACTGTGTATTTATTGAGTTAAGAGAGTTATTAATAATGTAAAATACCTTTTTCAATGTAAATGAACTCTTCCAACATGTCGCCGTGTGACTAAATGAAATCTAAACTTCATCACGTGGAATCCTGCTGTTTGATGACGTCACAGAGTCGCAGCGCCCCCCTGTGGTGAGTCTCAGCAGGTCTCCACTGGTGTCACTACGGTTACTGTTTGTACTGCTACTACCGCTGTACTACTACAGTATTAAGTACTAAGTATTACCAGTGTTTCTACCTGCTCTAGTAGAATACTGAGGGAATCAGGGACGGGAACTCTAGAAATAAGAGGTTCTGTTTTATTATTTATATAGCTGTTTGTATTTGTATTTTTAATATTTCACTTTGTCTTTAAAGCCCTTTTGGATCATTTGCACGAATCTAAAGTGTCTAATACTGTAACTACATGTACTGCTACCCCTGCTGTAATACCTCAAGTACTACTCCTATAATAGGATATCGTGGTAGTATTTAACACCTTTAAACGTTCACAACCTCAATTCAAAGCCTGGTAAGACAAATACTACTAGTAAGTAATATGCTACGAATGATAATATATACTCTTATCAAATAAAGTGTGTCCTAGTATTACTAGATTACTACACGTTGCAAATATATGTTTGTGGTTTAGAGAACAACAATTATAACAGTTCTGTTTGGTTCAATTCATATTTATTGTAATTGTTGCAGTACTTATACCACACATATATATTACAGTGTTACAATGAAAGTACTCCTGCCACACAGATTTAATACTCTTATTTTACTATTTTTTCTCAACATAGCTCATTATATTAACATTATTAATTTTATTACATTTTAAACAACTAATATTTGTACGGCCTTGGAATGAAGTATATTTTTCAACTGTCCTTTACGTTTGTTATTTGATGTATTTTGGGTCAAAGTACCTCTCGTGTGTTCTTAAATCCGATACTTTAGTAGTTAAATGACGATACTTTAGTAGTTAAATGACGATACTTTAGTGGTTAAATCCGATACTTTAGTAGTTAAATCCGATACTTTAGTAGTTAAATCCGATACTTTAGTAGTTAAATGACGATACTTTAGTAGTTAAATGACGATACTTTAGTAGTTAAATCCGATACTTTAGTAGTTAAATCCGATACTTTAGTAGGTAAATGATGATACTTTAGTAGTTAAATGACGATACTTTAGTAGTTAAATCCGATACTTTAGTAGTTAAATCCGATACTTTAGTAGTTAAATGACGATACTTTAGTAGGTAAATGACGAGCAGCACGTAGTTTCTTCACTAAATCGACATATTTCTGAATGCAGTTTGGCGTCAGACTTCTTTCTCTCGAAGCTGCAGGTCCGAGCAGCAACATTAACAAAGTGTTTTTCCCGCAATAATAAAAGTACACAAAACCACTTAGACGTAGAATCTCGCGGAGCCCCTAAAGGTACTTTTATTACACTCGCATGTTTATGAGATACTTCGGTGAAGGACGCGTCCACTCGGCACGACCCGCCATGACTCTCCGGTTCTCACTTCCCCACACAACAACACGTCACAGTGGCGCGTTGCATTCTGGTAAATGTAGTCGATTGAGCTTTCACGATGCAGTTTTGAATCTTTAACGTAAAGTTCACGTTAATTTAAATCGACATTCCCTCGCGTTTCAGGGACGGGGTCTTAAAGCAATAATAATAAGTGGTCGTTTGGCGTATTGTGTGAAAATAAAAAATAAATAACCACACACGAAAACTACAAGTCCCACATCTGATGTCGTGACGTCATGACGTTTAGCAACGGCCAGTTGCTGAAGGAGAAAACAGCCGCTTCCGTGTTGTTTCTTGTGTTTTTACCAGCCGTTGGTCGTTAGCGCGTCCGAGGTCGATGTCATGATTCAGTGAAGCCGACACGCACTCTCTGTTTCCCGGCTCCCCCGCGCCGCCATGTCGCTGCTGCAGAGCTCCAGGAAGAAAGACAAGCGCATTCTGTCCGGTACCTGCCCGGACCCGAAATGCCAGGCGAGGCTGTTCTTCCCGGCGCACGGCTCCGTTAGCATCGAGTGCACCGAGTGCGGCCAGCGGCACGAGCAGAGGCACCTGCTGAACGTCGAGGAGGTGACCGACCCGGATGTGGTGCTGCACAACCTGCTCAGAAACGCCCTGCTGGGCGTCACGGGGGCCCCGAAGAAAGGCACGGAGCTGGTGAAGGTGATGGGTCTGTCCAACTACCACTGCAAGCTGCTGTCTCCGGTGCTCACCAGGTACGGCATGGACAAGCAGACCGGCAAGGCCAAGCTGCTGAGGGACATGAACCAGGGCGAGATGTTCGACTGCTCGCTGCTGGGGGACCGGGCCTTTCTCATCGAGCCGGAACACGTCTCCACCATGGGCTACGGCAAGGACCGGTCCGGCAGCCTGGCGTACCTCCACGACACCCTGGAGGAGGTGAAGAAGGCCAACGGCGGCGGGGAGTGTCTGATCCCGGTCCACGTGGACGGGGACGGGCACTGCCTGGTGCACGCCGTGTCCCGGGCGCTGGTGGGCAGGGAGCTCTTCTGGCACGCCCTCAGGGAGAACCTGAAGCAGAACTTCAAGCAGAACGTGGACCGCTACAAGGCGCTCTTCCAGGACTTCATCGACGCCGCCGAGTGGGAGGACATCATCAACGAGTGCGACCCGCTCTTCGTCCCGCCGGAGGGCGTGCCGCTCGGCCTGCGCAACATCCACATCTTCGGCCTGGCTAACGTCCTCCACCGGCCCATAGTGCTGCTGGACTCGCTGAGCGGCATGCGGAGCTCCGGGGACTACTCGGCCACCTTCCTGCCGGGCCTGGTGGCCGAGGAGCGGTGCCGGGGGAGGGACGGGACCCTCAACAAGCCCATCTGCATCGCGTGGAGCAGCTCGGGCCGCAACCACTACATCCCCCTGGTGGGCATCAAGAACGCGGTGCCGCCCAAGCTGCCGGCCCGCCTGCTGCCGAAGGCCTGGGGCGTCCCGCAGGAGCTGATCCGCAAGTACGTGGAGCTTGAGCCGGACGGGGGCTGCGTGATCGGCGGAGACCGCAGCTTGCAGGACAAGTACCTGATGCGCCTGGTCAACGCCATGGAGGAGGTGTTCATGGAGAAGCACAGCATCCACCCCTCGCTGGTGGCTGACGTGCACCAGTACGTCTACCGGCGCACCGGCGTGATCGGCGTCCAGCCCGAGGAGGTGACGGAGGCGGCCAAGAGGTCGGTGACGGAGAACCGGCTGCACCGATGCCTGATCTGCGGCGCCCTCTCCGAGCTCCACGTGCCGCCGGAGTGGCTGGTTCCCGGCGGGAAGCTGTACAACTTGGCCAAGTCCACCCACGGGCAGCTCCGGCCCGACAAGAACTACAGCTTCCCCCTCAACAACGTGGTCTGCTGCTACAACCCGCAGAGGGACGTCCTGGCGCCGGACTACAAGCTCAGCTCCCTCGCCACCTGCAACTGGTGCCACGGCACGTCGGTGCGCCACGTCCGCGGCGACGGGGCGGTGGTCTACCTGGACGGGGACCGGACCAACGCGCGCTCCCAGGGCGGCAAGTGCGGCTGCGGCTTCAAGCACCACTGGGAAGGGAAGGAGTACGACAACCTGCCCGAGGCCTTCCCCATCACGCTGGAGTGGGGGGGGCGCGTGGTGAGGGAGACGGTGTACTGGTTCCAGCACGAAGTCGAGCCGGCGCTGAACAGCAACGTGTACGACGTGGCCATGAAGCTGGTGACTAAGCACTTCCCCGGGGAGTTCGGCAGCGAGATCCTGGTGCAGAAAGTGGTGAACACCATCCTGCACCACACCGCCAAGAAGAACCCGGACGAGTACAACCCAGTGTCCATCGCCGGGGCCCACGACCAGCGGCTCACGGACGCCACCGAGACGCCGCCGCCGGAGGCCCGGACGCCGCCCACCAAGATCATCCTGACCGGTCAGAAGGCCAAGACGCTGCACAGGGAGGAGCTGACGATGAGCCGGGCGGAGCGCGGCGTCCAGCAGAGCATCGGCGAGCAGGCGCCGGTCAACCAGAAGAGGCGGACCGACCGACTGCGGCAGGAGGAGGAGAAGAGCCGCACGTCTGTGCCGGAAACCTCCTCCTCGGCGCCGGCCACCCCGACCAAGTCCTCCGCCGCCTCCTCCTCCTCCTCCTCGCCGTCTAACAAGGAGAAGAAGATCCGCGTGACCACCAGCGACGGCCGGCAGGCCATGCTGACCCTGCCGGTCCACACCACCTTCTCGGAGCTGCAGAGGAGCGTGGCCGAACAGTTCGGCGTGCCGCCGGCGCGGCAGTGCATCCGGCACGGCTTCCCGCCCAGGGAGCTTCCGCCACCCAAGGACGGCGAGGAGAACGAGCCGACAGCGCTGCAGCACGGCGACCGGGTGACTGTAGAGATCCTGAAGGCGCCCGAGGACGAGGGCCCCGCCCCCTCTGCAGCCACCGCGCCGAGGGCCTCCGGCTCGCACGCGGCGAGGAGCGAGGAGGAGGAGGAGGAGGCGCCGCCCGGCAGGGCGAGCAGCCGCGGCCTCCAGGAAGGCATCGACCTGGAGATGTCGTCCCTCTGTCTCCTAGCAACCCTGATGGGTAAGAAGGTCCAAGCTGATGAATGTTTCCATTATTATTCATTTATTTGGGTTTTAGTCAGCTGATGAGAGAAAACAAACAGGTGGTTATTTTCTTTGTCTGGTTTAATAACAAATTACATTTGTTCTCCTCAATTATTCATTTAACTGTTAATTGATCAATTATTTATTATTTTCCTCATAAATCACATTTAAGAAAATGAAATCTTTACCTTTTTCCTTCTACAAATAAAACTACTGAAACCACTTAATTCATCTTGAAAATAGCTGATTGATTAACATGATATCAATGAATATGAAATTAATTAATTTCTGAAGCTCGTTGAGAAGTAATAAGAATAATCTTTGAAATGAATACTTACTGTTGGAACTTGTCACATTGTGGAAGAAGAACCGGGTGATGAAATGGAAGGAAGCTGCTTTATTTCAACGCCGATGTCCTCTGATGGTCCGCGGTGCGTTCAGGGTCTCGTTAAATCCGCCTCCTCTCTCCTTTCGTTCCAGGTGAGGACGTCTGGTCGTATGCGAAGAAGCTGCCTCACTTATTCCAGCAGGGCGGCGTCTTCTACAACATCGTGAAGAAGGACATGGGTACGTGCAGGTTCTCTTCCTGGGGGGTAAAGATGCAAATGTAGAAGAATTAGAACCACGTCATGAAACTCACAGTTCAGATCTTCATACGTTTCACAGTATTCATGACAGCGTCCTAAAAATCAATTGAACACTCTGAGTCAAATATCCAAAATACTCAATATTATACTTTTACATTGTTCATTTATAAAAATGCTGAGGCAACAAAATATTAAAGTTTAGTCTTTGTAGGTTAAACAGATGTTAATTCATCTTTAATATTTTTTTTTTATATTCATGTGAAAACATCAGGATACATTTTACAAATTACCTGTGAAGATCACAATGTTGAATGTTATCATTTTCACTGAGCAGAGCCTGAATGCATCATAATGTAACTCTACTAGCTCCGCCTCCTATTGATCTGAACACTGATTGGTTGTTTAAGATCACACATGATCAGAGACTAGAAACACATTGCGCCACTATTAGCCCCGCCTTCTACACGGGATCCGATTGGTTCCCCGTTGACCTGCGCTGGTCCCGTTTCAGGCCTGATGGACGGGAAGCACTGCACGCTGCCTCACCTCACGGGCAAAACCTTCGTCTACAACGCGGCGGAGGCTCGCCTGGAGCTCTGCGTGGACGCCGCCGGCCACTTCCCCGTGGGCCCCGACGTGGAGGAGCTGGTGAAGGAGGTGCTGGTGCAGCTGCGCTCCGACGGCACCACCAGGGGCAGCAGAGAGGGAAGCCCCTCCCACGGCCTCCTGCGGCTGGGCGGCGGCGGCGTCGTCCACAAGAAGGAACGTCTGCAGAGCGTCACCGCCTTCCAGGGCAAAGGCCACTCCTTGGGCAGCGCCGGGGGCTCCTCCCCCCCAGAGCACCGGCCAATCACGCGCCAGCACAGCAGCGGGGTGGACCTGAGCGCCAGCGTGTCCCGGGACCCCCCCGACCTGTCAGACATCCCCGAGGACGCCACCAGGGAGCTGGTCCGCATGGCGCCGGGCTTCGTCACCACGAAGGAGGGCCGCGGCCTGGACCCCGGCCTGATGGAGCAGCAGCGCAGGAAGCTGCAGGAGATGGTGTCCTCCATCCAGGCCTCCATGGAGCGCCACCTGAGGGAGCAGCAGAGCGACGCTGCTGCAGGGGGCGGGACTAAGACGGGGGCCGGCCAACCGCCGTCTACGCTGGTCGTGGAGGAGGAGCAACGTCCGCCCGCGGCGGTGCCTGGCAAACCGGAGGGGAAAGGGGCGGAGCCGGAGGAGATGGAGAGTCAGGACGGCGAGCAGACCAACGCCACCGAACCCATGGACCACTCCTGATCGCCCCTCCGGCTTGTGGTGGTGTGTCGTCGTCTTGCTGCATGACTGGGTGGCGAGCGGAGGGCCCGCCTTCCACTGGGAGCCCTTTCTATTTTTTTTACGTCTTCACAACCCCCCCATGTTTACTCGCCCCGATGCTACAGCTTGGTCAGGTGACCTGCAGGTAACCAGCGTCACTGCTTCACCTCAGAGACATCAGCGAGTCCTTTGTGATGCTACATAGATGAAATGCTTCCTGACATTTCTCCATCTGATTGTTGCTGTCGGCCTAATAATTAATTAATTAATTCCATCAGACGGTCCAGTGCCTGAAACCGTTAAACCGTTAAATGAATGTTTATTAAAGTCTTTAGCGGCGATACAAACACAAGCGTGAAGAAAGCTCAAATAAAAAAGGTCCACACTCGTTTCCTGCAGGTTAGACTTTAATCACCTCTAATGAAGTAAGTGACGGGGGGTGAAGTCTTCTAGAATAAAGTATGAAATAAAGTTTCTGTTTCCAGGAAACAGGAACGGAGGGCGTGACCTTTCACCTCTGTCCATGGAAGACATGAGAAAGAAGAGCTTCTGTTCTACGATGTCTTTATATTGAAGTTGTCACGGCATCGGTCCACTCGGGTTCCCGTTGGGTCATCGGTCCACTCGGCTTCCCGCTGCCTCGCCAAGCGATCGGGTCATTGATCCGGTTTGAGCCGCTGAGGCTGCGTGGTCGGTTTTGGGTTTAAGTCCCAGAACATTTAGTTCCTTCAAAGACGCGCTGGCTTCTGCTCCTCGGCCGAAGGTTCAGGGAAGCAAAGAGTGAACAGTTTGACTCGAGATTTGATGCTAATGAAAGACGTCTGCAACCGTTTTCCCAGCATGCTTTGCAGCACTTCTCACCACCGCGATCTCTTTGAATACGCTCATCCTCCTGCTTGTTGAGGGCCAGCTTCAGTTAGCTTCAGCTTAGCTTAGCACAAACACTGGAAACGAGGAAACCAATATACAATATAAATAATTAAAGTGTCAAAACAAAGACTCTAGACTTCATGCTAAGCTAATCACAAACATCACATGACTATTTAAAGAGACTTTATTGCCAACAAAATGTCTCCATCTTTGTTTTTAGGGGGGACTTTTCCTCAAGCCTTAAAATCTGCTTTAACCTAAAAAAAATATTTTCACTCAAATCCTTGAGTCCGACTTTTAGATTTGAACAATTATTTGTGTCTTTTTCAGGGCGAAAATAAAACAGATCTCAGGTCTGTAAAACGTGAACGAGCTTTATTTTGACGTTGAAGCAAACAAACACGAGACTCGGCACTTTGCTTCAGGGCCGGTGGAGTAAACCGCCCAGGACGTTAGCGAAGCATGCTAACGTTAGAGTAGCATGCTAACATTAGCCGGAGGGGGAAGTTTTCTTTGCGGCTGCTGTACGCTGACATGAATTGTAACCCAGTTGTATAATAGTAAATATTGTAGTATATTTGGACTTGTACAGAAACTACGGAAACAGATTGTTCACTTTCTTCACTTTTTTTCTCTGGTTTGCTAATAAAATATCGACAATACGTGGCTTCGACATCGCTGGTTGCATGTGATGAATTTTCAACCCCAACAATAAATTCACTTCCTTCACTCGTTTTTTGTATTTTTGTCGTAACTGACGAGATTTTTTCTGTTTGTGAATTAAAGTGTGACATCGGCTTTATTTTAATTTAAAGAAAACGTGTGTGTTTGTTTTTACATATTTTTGTGGTTTGGAATTCCTGATTTAATAAGATTATTCTAATTTCTTTGATCATTTTCAATGCTCTTTTTATTTGATTACGCGGCAGCATGAAACCACGTACAGTTTTATAACATCTCAATATGTATATGTTAAAATTAACCAATGATTAATTTAATATATTTCTTTTCTATTTCAACTTTAGTGATGCAGGGGGACTTTATGATGTTTGCATTTTTTTAATCTTTTCTAAAAATTGTGCCCCAAAAGAAGAGAAGATCCAATAAAAAAATATTGGCGTGTTAACAGAATATGAGGCAAATGTTTTAGTTCTAAACGTATTTTTAACTTAAGAGTGATAATTTCACCAGGATTATGGTTAAATTATAGCTTCATATGGTCCTAAATAACAGAACACTTCCAGGTGGTTTGAGTGTGTGACGTCACTGTTTCTGTCCACAGGGTGGCGCCATAACACTCTCACGTCACTATGGATTGACTCATAAATGAATATGTAACTGATGATTCTGAACTAAAATCCTGACAGAACTATATTATTATGATATTTGATATCGCCACAGCAGTAAATAAGTTAATTATTCTTGATTTAACATCGGTCTCGGCTGTGATTCTCCTGGTTTCCGCTCGGCTTGGTTCGGGTGTCAGCGGTGAGTCGGATGAGCATTAGGACCCGGAGCAGCCGTCACAGCCCGGGCAGTAAAAATAGCGGCTGGACCAGGACCGTTCCGGGGTCACCGAGGAGACCCGAACGGACCGGATCCAGCGGAACTTCCCTCCGCGCGAGGCACCGGACAGGAACCGCCGCGAGCCGCGTTCACCTGCCGAGAGAACCGGAACCCGAAGCCCAGCGGACGGGCTGCCCTTCTGTGAGGCGTTCACTGCCGGTAGGTCATCCTGGGATTCCCCTGGTCGCTGTCTGTGCAAGATCAAGCCTCAGTTACCAACTTTATTATGTTCTAAACTTGAGGAACTAATTTCATGTTTCATATTTATGCCCGTATCTTACGTATTGCTTGATATACATACGACTCTTGTTTTCTCAGGTGTAATTTACGTCATTAGTCAGTAGGTCAAACTGCAGAGCGAATGTTTGTCACATCACTGATGTTCTTCTGTACTTCTGTTGTTTGTTTGTCCCTAAATTAAAATGAATAAATATAAAGCGCCTTCGTCCTGAACCTGAACCAGCTAGTTCAGACTGGTACACGAGTGCTCGTCTCTTTGTGACCAGGTGCTGTGACCCCCCCCCACGTGATGCTGCAGCTGTGCCAGGTCACCAGCGCCCTCTTCATCAGCAACGCCCGCTCCGCCTGCAGCGAGGACCTCCTCCTGCAGGAGGCGGTGACGCTCTGCATCAACGTGTCCAAGCAGCAGCCGTTCCCGCGCCGCGGCGCCGGCGTGGCCACGCTGCGGGTCCCCGTGTACGACGACCCGGCCGAGGACCTGTACGCCCACTTCGACCGCTGCGCCGACGCCATCCAGGAGGAGGCGGCCCGGGGGGGGCGCGCCCTGGTCTACTGCAAGAACGGGCGCAGCCGCTCGGCCACCGTGTGCGCGGCGTACCTGATGAAGCACCGCGGCCTGTCGCTGACCAGCGCTCTGCAGGTGGGGGGGGGCTGATCCCACACAAACGTCTTACGTGAATCTTTCGATGCAGTTGGATCAAAGCGGCGGCGCTCTGCGTTCGTACATGCGTGTATTTTTTCATTAAGCGATTTAAAGAACGAGTTCATGAACGTTGAGCGCCGAACACAAACACCGACGTTGCTTTCCATTCGACGTGAAACATTCCGTCGGCGTGGTTGCCGTGGTTACCTGCGTGGATCAGAACCGCGTTGGAGGAGACGTCACGTCTCCTGTTCCTGTGCAGACGGGGCGAACCGCTGGGACCTTCAGAAGGACCCTCAGGGGGACCTTCTGGAGGTCGTCACGGTGATCATGATGCCGCTCTGCGGACGGCGTGCTGATCCCTCGTGTTCTCTGAGGTGTAAAACTGCAGCGCGACTCTTAGTGGACAGAAACTGAAGCCGGTTATGTGACTCAGCGCTTCTGTCACCAAGGTGCCCTCGAGCAGACGAGTTGTGAGGACGTTGTTTTATAAACGGGCATTATAGTCCATTAGAGGCCTGTCAATCATGTGTAGCCCCGCCCTAAAGCGTCCCCCCCCTTCATGGTCTGTTTGACTCTAAATGAACCATAATCTAATCATCTGCGTTGAAGAAGACTTGAAACTAGAGACTGAGACCATAAACTCATGTTTACAATGTTTACCGAGGGAATAAATCAAGAGAGAAGTAGAGTCATTTCCTCATAGACGTCTATGGGAGCAGAGGAGTCGCCCCCTGCTGGTCACTACAGAGAAGTAGAGTCATTTCCTCATAGACGTCTATGGGAGCAGAGGAGTCGCCCCCTGCTGGTCACTACAGAGAAGTAGAGTCATTTCCTCATAGACGTCTATGGGAGCAGAGGAGTCGCCCCCTGCTGGTCACTACAGAGAAGTAGAGTCATTTCCTCATAGACGTCTATGGGAGCAGAGGAGTCGCCCCCTGCTGGTCACTACAGAGAAGTAGAGTCATTTCCTCGTAGACGTCTATGGGAGCAGAGGAGTCGCCCCCTGCTGGTCACCATACAGAATGCAGCTTTAACAGCTCCAACTTCACTTTATATATCTATATATATATATATATAGATATATATATATATATATATATATATAATCTCAGTAATACCAAGTACCAATACTACTGCTTAATAAAACCAGAATAGTTCTGACAGTATCTTTGTTCAGCGTTTTATATCCGTGCTTTAAACAGAGAGTAATTCTTTGAGGAAGTTAAAAGAAATGTGTCCACTAATATAATGTCTGTTGCTATAGAAACAAAGACGATGAGCTGTGTTATTATCTTTAAATGTTATATAAATATTATTATTATATTATATATTCATTATTTATAACCGAGTGTAACAAGATTCTATTCTGTATATTTTGTATAATAAAAATAATATAGTCGTTTACGTTCCTCCAGAGAGTGAAGACGGCTCGTCACGAGATCGACCCCAACGCCGGCTTCCTGTCTCAGCTGCAGAGATACGAGCAGGAGCTGAAGAAGAGACGAGGACAGAGGGACAGACAGGAACACTGAGGGACAGGCTGAGAGACATTTTACAAGGGAAAATGTGTATTGAAGAGAAACCTTTAATGTTTTCATAATCAGTTCACTTATTTCAAAGACGTGTCTCCAGAATAAAGTAGGAAATATTAGATGGTCGACTTTGTGTTGCTGTAAAATAACTTTAACACGTTAAAAAGTTAAAATAAAGAATGGAGACCAAGCATTAAAAATCAAGTAACACACGCAGCGATAAAAACCTAAAGAGGAAATATTTAAACAATGTAGAAGTAAAATAAAAATAAAGTATCATAACTTAGATAAGTCCAAGATAAGTATTATGGATTCTTCTTAAATAATAACTCTTTTAGATGTTTTATTTACATGTGAAATAGTTGTTAATGCTCCTGTTTGATTATCGATCAGTAAATATTGATTGTTGATGTTTAGAGATGTTTAAACTGTGATTTGATCAGCCGATCTTCCAACAGACCGACCTCGTTCTAATATGCTTTTATTGTGAAACAGGAAGTAACTGTCTGAACGGAAGCTTCCAGCTGATTGCTTCTCCTCTACTTCTTTGTCTCTGAGGGGTTTAGTCTACTGAACTAAATCATCTGTTGGTGCCGAGACTCTTTATTTAAACATTTAAACATATCGTAGAAAAGACTTTTATATGTTCATCAGGTTGGCAAAAAAATACACACAGAATACACCGATACACACAGAATACACGATACACACAGAATACACCGATACACACAGAATACACCGATACACACAGAATACACCGATACACACAGAATACACCAATACACACAGAATACACCGATACACACAGAATACACCGATACTACTTACTACTTAAAGTGCAATAAGATGTGTGTTAATACCGGTTAATGCTAGATGGATTGAGCTCAGGTTAAACCTTATTTTAAAGAGTGAGTGTGTGTTTGTGAGTGTGTGAGTGAGTGTGTGTGTGTGTGTGTCTCCACTTAGTGGTGCTTCACTAAAGCAATAATTAAAACTAGGAACACGTTGACGTCGACGTGCTGCTGAAACGTGAAATAAGTTGCGTGTTGATCATCAGTGTTTCGGCCTCAGCGGGAAACAAAGAGTAGAAGAAGAAGTGGAGGCTGTGAGCTGAAGACAAAACCACCTGAAGGGATTCAAATGGTTTTAATTGTTCAACCTGATCTTCAAATGCAATTATTCATCTTCATCTTTCATTATGTTGAATAAACTATGAATGTAGCACAACTTTACTGTGAATAAAGAACAAATGAACAAATGGTTCTGTGTGTGGAAGAAGCTAATATAAATATTATTCACAGAGACAGCTGACCATCCATCCGTCCATCCATCCGTCCGTCCATTTATCCATCCATCCGTCCATCCATCCGTCAGTCCATCCATCCGTCCATCCATCCAACCATCCATCCGTCAGTCCATCCATCCATCCAACCATCCATCCTTCAGTCCATCCGTCCATCCATCCATCCATCCATTTATCCATCCGTCTATCCATGACACAGAGACACACAAACATTCACACCCACACACCTAATGTCCCCAATCAACCTGATCCCCAGAGCACGTCTCTGGACTGTGGGAGGAACCCGGAGAACCCGGAGAGAACCACGCAGACACGGGGAGAACATGCAGACTCCACACACTAGTGGGAGGATTGATGCGCCGTTCACCCTCTGGGGAACATGAGAAGACAAAAAGGAAACGTAAGCGCCTTGAGACAGAATCAGTTTATTCATGCGTCACATCACTGCTTGACTGAGGCCTCAACGAGGGTTCAGACCATCGGGGGCTCCGGATAAAGTCCTTTGTCCCAGTCCTGGCGCACGCCGTTGATCCACTCGTTGTAGTTGGACACCTTGGTGTAGACGCCCAGCTTGTCCTCCCTGCCGCAGCCCTCGCCCCAGGACACCAGGCCCAACAGGAACCAGGTGCCCCGGTACAGCGTGACCATCGGCCCGCCGCTGTCCCCCTCGCAGGCGTCCATCTTCTGCCCGAGGACCCCGGCGCAGAGGACGTTGTCGGAGATGTTGTGGGACATGTGCTGGGCGCAGACGGCGCGCTCCACCAGCGGCACCTTGATGACGTTGAGCGCCGAGCTGAAGGTGGTGCTGTTCAGGCTGTCTTTGCCCCAGCCGCTCACCACGGTGGGGGTGCCGTTGAGGTGGAGCGCCCGCTCGGCCGTGCGGCGCCCCGGCAGGCAGACGGGGACGATGAACTTGGACTGGGGGGCGGGCGTCTGCAGGCGCAGCAGCGCGATGTCGTTGTCCACCGTCCGGCTGTTGTACCTCGGGTGCTTGAAGGCCCTGGTGACCCTCAGCGTGGCCTCGGTGCCCTCGTCCCGGTAGCGCTCGTAGTCCCCTGGGGAGACACAAGGGGGGGTTGAGCCGGTCTCGAATAGTTATATAAATAGTTCTTGAAGAGCTCCTGCTCATTGAGCTCAGACTGAGGGTCCCGGGCGTCCCGGGGGTCCTGGGGGGGGGGGGGGGGGCTCACCCAGTCGCACTCGGAACCGCAGGCTGTTGTCGAGGCAGTGGGCGGCGGTCAGGACCCAGTTCTCATCGATCAGGACGCCCCCGCAGTGGAACTGGCCTCTGGCGTTCAGCAGCAGCGCCTGCAAACGTTCCGTAACGCAGGTGAGTTTGTTTTATCTGGAGTAAATGAGGCATTGAGGGTGGAGCAAACGTCCCCACCCACGGGGGTCAGTCACCTGCCATGGGCTCTCCCCCTTCTTGCCCACCTCGCCGCCCACCATCCAGGGCTGCAGGCCGTCCTTCCGCTGCGTGTAGGACGACCGGGCGATCAGCAGCTGGCCGCAGGACGACGGACCTGCGCGCAGACTTCGAAGTCAGCTCAGAGGTGCGAGTGGGCGGGGCTTGTTCTGACCCTCCCGCTCACCTGTCGGCACACATTTGCGGGAGTCGGTGTGCAGTTTGAAGCCGGCGACGCAGCTGCAGCTCCTCGTCAGGCCGTCGTCGCCCTCCCAGCAGTCGTGGTCGCAGCCGCCGTTGTCCAGCGAGCAGTTGGTGGCGGTTTGGGCTGCGCCGGGACGGGCCGCCGTTCACGTGTTCACACATCGCAGCACGTTTTATTTCATAGTGTGTGATTGTATTACGCAGACGACACATTTAACATGAAATGGTTTAAACAGTGAACTCTGACGAGGTCGAAGGAGTCGCTGCGTTGGTCCTTTGTTAGATTGTTCAGTGTTTACGTTTAACCTGGAATCTAAAGGTTAAAGGTTAAACCCTGTTAAAGGTGTTTGTTGGTCTTATGGACTCATTGCTGTGAGAGGAACACACATGGTTGGACTCACGCTGGTCGCAGTATTTGCCCTCGTATCCGTGGTTACAGCGGCAGGCGTAGTCCTGGTAGAGATCCACGCAGGCGCCGTGCACACACATGTTGGAGTGACACTGGTTCCCATCTGAAACACAGTCAGCTCGCCGTGAACACATTTCCCACAATGCCCTGCAGCATGGACCGTCCACACGGAGAGACGAGATGAAGCAGGACAGGAGAAAGACTGCAGTGTGAAGGCGTTCTGTGATGTTCAGGACGCGGGCGGAGGGACGTTCGGTTCCTCACCGGTGTAAACCGTCCAGAACTCCAGCTGCAAACACACAAAGTCAGCGATGAGAAGATGTGAGTCATCCTCAACCTTCATCCAGGTCTCAGCGAGAGAGAAAGGCTGAGTTTATATTTACTCTGGTTATCAGCCGATCAAACAACAAAGACAACAACAACACGTGTAAACAGAAAACGTCTTACTGTCGCTTCCCTCGTATGGAAAATCTCTCTTGCTTCCTCAAAGTCACATTTCTCCTCCAAACATTCACGCTCCATGGAAGGAGCTTTCAGCTCCTCCAGGAAGGAGTTCGCCCGCCGGGACCGCAGCAGCATGTGAGCCTCCGGAGGGTCGGAGAACACTGGGGGAACCGAGGAGACCAGGCCGTCAGACCACTCTGTCTGGTCCTGATCCTCTATGTGAACCAGTCTCAGGTTAGTCCTGATCCACCGTGGACAGTCCTCCAGCAGAGGTTTCCTAGAAGGACCCTCATGGTAGGAGACTAAAAGCTACTACAACCTTTAGCATATCAGCAGTGATATTAAGCTAATGCAGTACTTTCATTCATCTGGAGATCGATTCTGTTCTTAAAGCTCAGTCTGCGTTCAGAGGAACCCGTAAGCCTTCTGAGGGCCGGCGATCCGTCGGAGGAAACCCACCTGACACACTGAGCACCGCCGCCGACCACAGAGCGGCCATGACGGGCACGAAGAGGAAGAGGCGGGACATGACCTCCAGTCAGACCTGCAGCCAATGAGGCGACACAAAGCACATCAGATCTCCTCCTCTCGTCCTCTCTCAGTGACACAAACACTAATCATCATCCTCCGCGTCTTTACAGGCGACTCACCGCGTTGAAGGACGAGTCCACGAGATGAACTGTGGGACGAGACAGGAAGTCAAAATATCAACATAACTACATCATTTTCAGCTGGAGACACAGAAGCTGCCAGACGCACACACGGCCCCGCTTGAACCTGTGCGACCTCCGACCCCCCCGACCCCAACAAGGGGAGCCGAGACCTCAAACCGCCTCCACGCCGAGATACAAGAAGAAGGAAGGTTTCAGAGAGTCGTACTCACGCAGGGAGAAGCTGATCCGAGTCCAGTCTGGTCCGCTGCGTTAATGACTAACAGACTGTTTACTGAGAGTCCACAGTCTGCAGCCGTCACCACGGCCAACACACAGGCCTCCACCCACCGGCCTCCACCCACCGGCCTCCACACACCGGCCTCCACACACAGGCCTCCACCCACCAGCCTGCACCCACCGGCCTCCATCCACAGGCCTCCACCCTACTGGCCTCCACACGCAGGCCTCCATCCACCGGCCTCCAACCACAGGCCTCCACCCACCGGCCTCCACATGCAGGCCTCCACACACTGGCCTCCACACGCAGGCCTCCACCCGCAGACCTCCACCCACAGGCCTCCACCCACAAGCCTCCATCCACAGGCCTCCTCTTGCAGGCCTCCACCCACCGGCCTCCACGCACAGGCCTCCACCCACAAGCCTCCACATGCAGGCCTCCACCCAATTGCCCCCACTCGCAGGCCTCAACACATATGCCTCCACCCACCAGCTTCCACACGCAGGTCTCCACCCACAGGCCTCCACCGACAAGCCTCCATCCACAGGCCTCCACCCACAGGCCTCCACACGCAGGCCTCCACCCACAGGCCTCCACCGACAAGCCTCCATCCACAGGCCTCCTCTTGCAGGCCTCCACCCACCGGCCTCCACGCACAGGCCTCCACCCACAAGCCTCCACATGCAGGCCTCCACCCACATGCCCCCACTCGCAGGCCTCCACACATATGCCTCCACCCACCAGCCTCCACCCACAATCATCCACCCAAAGGCCTCCACCCACAGGCCTCCCCCCATTCCGTCTGCTACTCAGTCGTTATTCACTCATGATTTCACTCATTTCTTTGTGGACTCGAGTTCTAAAGTTTGTCCGTCCCCATCTTGTTTTTTGAATCAACCATTGAACAGGAAGTGACCATATGTGCACTGAGGAGGACTTAGAGACGCCACATAGTCTCTAGTGTTTTGTCAATCAGCGCAAGGCTCCGCCCCAAAGCGTCCCCTGCTTTATGGTCTGTTTGACTCTAAATGATGATGTTCATTTAGTACGTTATGGTCCATTTTGCTGAGGGACGACTTGAAGCTCGAGATTGAGACCATCGAGAAACTAAAAATCACGTCTCATAGACGTCATTGGGACCAGAGGAGTCGGTTTACTCTGTGTGGCTTTATCAACATTACAACATTCCACATTAATATTAACAAAGATCCAAAGCAGTTGAAGTTGAAGTTGAAGTTTAGTTTCTGTTTAGAAAAACAACAAAAGCTGACAGCTGATATTTAAGATATAGCACACACACACAGTATAAAGACTCATCAAATCACTCAGATAATGATATCGAGACAGAAAAGAGATAAAAGACCAAACAAATACTTCCTCGTGAGCACAAAAAGCATTTGCAGACCTGATTTACTTAAATAAGACTTCCTGACGCACCGGGGGGCCGGGGGCGGGGGGGCCGGGGGCGGGGCAGCTTCCTGTCCACAAACAGGTATGGAGTATGAGTCAGCTTTTATTCCCAAATTGTTCATAATAATAATAACCTAATAAAAGTTGACCTCAGGTCACAGAGATTACTGTTATTCTATTTTTTCTTCGTATCCGTTTATCCGGCCTCGGGGGCGTCGCCGGCCTCGGGGGCGTCGCCGGCCTCGGGGGCGTCGCTCATCAAGGTGAACTATTCGTCTCCTTTGTTCACTCGGCTCCGCTTACCTTTGTGTCCTCTTCTGTTTTGGGATTTTTTCAGAATTAAAGCTTGGATTTAGTTTCACGGGCAACTCTGTGTTTTTGGGGCGGATCGAGGGGGGGGGGGGTCCTACCCAGCATGATCTCTGCTGAGACTGACCTGCTGCTTTTGGGTGGTTGGTTTCCTTTAGATGCTCCGTCGATAATGCCAATACTTTAATAATCCTTTTCAATCTGACAAACAAACATTCAGATCCCGACTCAAAGCGAAAACACAGTTCTCAATCAAAGGTCACTCATTAATGACACAGACTCCTCCTCAGATAGTGATTCACGTGTAAATATGGATCCAAAACCCCAGACGACGTAAAGATGGTTTATGAAGAGAAGCTGCTTGAAAAAAAGATTATTATTATATTCAGATATTAAAGAGTGTCAAACATGTTGGATCTGCACTCATAACGTCTCAGCAGGGTTTTCGTCCTTCCTGCAGACCGAGACCAGCAGGGACTTGGTCTCCATCCGTGAGAACGGACCTTCAACACGAGGAAGTGAGCTTCTTATCGCACATCGATCGGACAAAGACGAAGGCGGAGGAGAAGAACAGGGGGACGGAAAGCAGCCACGTTAATACACGAGTCGCTCATGTCTGTAATGTGTTTGGTCGACATGGAGTATCTAGTGATCCCGCGAGGCCTCTGTGGTCAGATGGAATAAAAGAAGTAGGTTCCTCTTTGTGACGACCGGGAGCTTTCACAGCGTCCGATTACCAGATGATTGTTGACACGATGAAAAGACGACATATTCTGCAAATGGTCCATGTCATCCGCTGTGAGTCCTGAAGGCTTTGTTACTTTGACAAATCTGAAGGGGAGATGGAACAAAAAAGTCCATTTTGTCCAAAATGTGTGAGAACCGACACGATTAAAGCAGATTTTATTCCTCTAAAAGTAATTTCTTGTATTTAGTTTTTTCCGTGTTTCTGTGTTTTTCAGATTTCTTTTGAACGAAGCTGGTTATGTTGTTCCTCTCGTTCTTACGAGTACGATGATTATTAATAAAGATGTTTATGGCCAATAAACAAAATTAAGCAAAGATTTTAGAAGACCATAAGAGACCAAACAGCATAAACCAACCAGTAGTAATACTTCCTTAGAGACGCCACGCTGGAGGCCACAGCTTTTATTCAGACGGTTTGGTTTCCTCCGTCAAAAGAAAACTGCCGCGTTGACACGCAGACCTCGACTGGACCGGTCCAATCCATGGACGGTGAAGACGTCGGAGGTCCTGGGGTGTGGACGGGCCGGGGGGGGGTCTCTGAAGGGGTGCTGAGGGGGGACGGAGGGTGGAGGACGATGCAGAGATAAGCCCACAGGCGTCTCCTCTTTCCGCAGCTTCTTTTATATCATGTATTTATTGGCCGTTTAAGGAGGTCATCTCTTCTTTATCGGGACAATGAAGACGCTCTGTGTCCTCAGTCTTTGTCTGCGTCCCGGCCGGCCAGAAGAAGACCTGAAAGACGCTTTGTTTGAGGTGAGGTTTATAAATGCATCACAGCCTCCTCCATCCTGCTCATCGCCTCCTTCTCCAGATGATGCTGCACAACTCGCACCGAGCGGTGAGTCCTTTTGTTGTTCTGCCGGGGAAATAATCCAGTTTGAAATCCAGGTTCCACTTTTCTACAAGAAAACAGAAGTGAAAATGAATTAAAAAAAAGAAAATAATATTTGCACTAAGATGAAGAATGGTGTGTAAAATACAATGCAAGAGATGCGTTGACATTTAAATATTTAAGTGAATCTTTTAGTCTCAGTTTTGAGTTAATCTACAAATAGATAAATACATTATTTTACAGTTGTGGATCATTTAGAAAAGAAAGTGCAGCATTCAGGGAATTTACACTGAAGAATTCCCACCTGCCTGGTGATAGAATCCCATGTGGCACATTTTAAACTTCAAGTGTCTCCAGATGAACTTTGTCCATCACTCGTTTACACTCTGGCTCACTTCATGTGTCTCGCTGGGCTTGAAGACCCAGAAAAGCTACATTTCAATGGTTAGATTAAGGAACCATTACTGCAATTTAAAATCAAAGGGGAATCGAAAGTCCTTCAGTTGAGACCTGGACGCGTCCCTGAGAACTCCAGGGCAAGCTTCCATGGTCTCGATGGTCATGGAGGTCTGAAGACCCAAACTCTGAAGTCCTCCTGCTTCAAGTCCGTCGTCCTCCTCTCACTGTCTTCCTCTCACCGTCTTCCTCTCACCGTCTTCCTCTCACCGTCTTCCTCTCACCGTCTTCCTCTCACCGTCTTCCTCTTCTTCCTCCAGATGCTGTTGTCCTGGCTGCTGGGACTCGTCGTCCTCTCCTCCCTCTGCTCAGCCATGTTTCCACCCAACATGGGCAGTGGAGAGTCCCCTCAGTCACCTGCGTCCTCTGAGTCCTCTGAGTCCTTGTCTGAGTCCTCTCAGTCCTCTCAGTCCTCTAATTCCTCTGAGTCCTCTGAGTCTCTCAGTCCTCAGAGTCCTTAACTAAGCCGCCCGAGCCGTCATCCGAGGTTCCCTGGATCCCCCTTACTCGCAACGGGCCGCTCCCTGGCAACATGAGTGATTTGAACGGATTTTTTGGAGACCCAATGACGACCTTCTGCGACATGCTGTGGAGCTCGCAGGTACCGATGACCCTCGCCGATATTCCCCCTTCCTGCCTCTGTTCGCACTGTAAGAGCATTGTGGGGCCCAAAGGAGACCGAGGAGACCGAGGCCTTCCAGGTAGGCCGACCAGTTTAAAACACCACTTTATGATATTTATCTTGTATGCTAAGCAGTTGATAAAAATATTTACATATATTACATGCTAAATATGAAGACTAACTGTGATGTAAGAATAACAGGAGTCAGTGAAATAAGACACCATGACTGTAATGTGTGATTAGGTTCACCTGGGAGTCCTGGGAGGAGAGGAATGACGGGTTTCCCTGGTCCTCAAGGATTCACCGGCCGTCAAGGGATAAAGGGTGAGTTACAATTCAAGAAGTCTCCTTCACTTCAGGGTTAATACCAGCAAACACAACACAACAATGTACCCAAACAAGCAAATCCTGTTGATGCAATGCTATGATGAACCAATAAATGAGTGACAACATTATAATGACGCAGGATTTGGTATTCAATATTATTCATAGTTCTATGTCACAGATCACAAATTGGCCTCAGAGGGATTTGCAATACGTGCAGCAAGGAGGCGGAATCTCAGATAGATCAATAGGATGGATAGAAGAGCAATAGATGTTATGTACAGCGCAATCTACCTACCTGAGCCAGTCCCAACTATCTACCTGCCTGAGCCAGTCCCAACTATCTACCTACCTGAGCCAGGCCCAACTATCTACCTGCCTGAGCCAGCCCCAACTATCTACCTACCTGAGCCAGGCCCAACTATCTACCTACCTGAGCCAGCCCCAACTATCTACCTGCCTGAGCCAGCCCCAACTATCTACCTACCTGAGCCAGGCCCAACTATCTACCTACCTGAGCCAGCCCCAACTATCTACCTGCCTGAGCCAGCCCCAACTATCTACCTGCCTGAGCCAGGCCCAACTTTCTACCTACGTGAGCCAGCCCCAACTATCTACCTGGCGTGAGCCAGCCCCAACTATCTACCTACCTGAGCCAGCCCCAACTATCTACCTACGTGAGCCAGCCCCCAACTATCTACCTACCTGAGCCAGCCCCAACTATCTACCTACCTGAGCCAGCCCCAAATATCTACCTGCCTGAGCCAGCCCCAAATATCTACCTACCTGAGCCAGCCCCAACTATCTACCTACCTGAGCCAGCCCCAACTATCATTCCTAGCCAGCCTTGAATACCTACTTGAACTAGACCAAACCATGTCATTAAAGAGGAAAATCTTAAGTCTACTCTTAAATACCCTCACCCAAACTAAACCAGGCAACTGATTATACAATGTTTACTCAATAAAACATTGACTCTGTGTGGGAGTCATTTTGTGCTGCTATTCATTTGTAAGTAACATGTCTTTCTTTACCTGTGGTTTCAGGTCAGAAGGGAGACCTGGGGGAAAAAGGGTCAACCGGCACCATCGGTTTCATGGGCATGAAGGGCGAACGGGGTTTCAAAGGTCTGCTGAGATCTGTCTTGTATGTAAAGGATCACTCTATGTGGAAGGCTACTGTGTTTAGAACTCATTTAGAACTATCACATAAACAACTAAATCAGATCTAACATTGCAATAGTTAGAGTTATAATTCACTGGGCTCTAATGATAACTTCTTCTTTTAGAATAGATGAGGGTAATGCTTGAATGCTAGTAGTGTACGAGAATCAGGCTGCGCTCATCCAGCCATGAAAAATAATGCATAATTTGTAGATATTCCATAAACTACAGCCATTAACTAATTTCTACAATCACATGTAGGGGTTCTAGTTAACCATAAATATCTCACTTTCATGGACTACCTCAAATTGCTCCTGTAGCTCTGACAGCTTAGTGTAGTAAATGTTAGATAGTTTTGTTGGGCACGTGACACTGTGTACCTGCTGCTACCAGTGTATGAATGGGTAAATGATGACACGTAGCGTTAAAGCACTTTGTGTGATTGAATAACTAGTTTTGTCATTTAGATCAAGTATTAATGGCATTTTTAAGAAATAAATGTTGGTTTATTCTATATACTATTTGATAAGACTGCCACTTATTTCCTTAAATGTAGACATTTACGGCCTCCAGCATGTAAAAACGAATTGGCCTTATTTGTATGATCTTCATCAGTGAATAGTTCATGATAGTTTGCTTATTGTGTGGACCATGTTTGCAAGTTACAAAGGTCAAGATATATTGTATATCAAAATGTAATGAAAATATACTTGATGTGTGTCTCAAGGAGACAAAGGGGACTATGGAATGGAAGGCCCACCAGGCTCACCGGGCCCCCAGGGTGAAAGCGGTACATGCCCTGCTTCCTGTGAGAGTCTACCAGGTTCCCCGGGGCAACAAGGAGTGCCTGGACCAGCCGGAGCTCGGGGTCTTCCTGGGGTCCTGGGACCAATGGGACCCAAAGGTATCATGGGCAACAAGGGTGACATGGGTATGCCTGGTGACCCCGGGATGGACGGCCGGAAGGGCGATCCAGGCGAGCAGGGGTTGTGTGAGTGCACGGACGGGGCAAACGGCACGGATGGTAAACAGGGAGAAAAGGGGGTCAAAGGGGACAAAGGAGTGACTGGTGCCCAGGGTGTTCAGGGCCCCATGGGGCTAAAAGGCCAAGAGGGCAGCATGGGTCTCATGGGGATACCTGGGCCCTGCTCCCCGGCCATCCAATCTGCATTCTCTGCTTCCCTCGACGTGTCGTTTCCTGCTCCAAACTGGCCTGTTCCTTTCCCGCGGGTCCTCGTCAACGTGCAGGGGGACTTCAACCCGTTCATGGGCATGTACAAAGCTCCCATCAACGGCACCTACGTCTTCACCTTCAACCTGGCCATCATGGAGAGGCCTCTCAAGGTTGGCCTATTCAAGAACTTCAACTCTATGGTCAAACTAACAGAAGGAAGCCAACAATCCACCACCAGCTACACTGTCGTCCTCCACCTCGCCATGGACGACATGGTGTGGCTGCAGGTGAAGGACTTCACCACCAACGGCATCTACACCGGAGCGGAGAGCAGCAGCACCTTCTCTGGCTATCTGTTGTACCCTGACTCCTGTGAAGTGCCCAAAGGGCGATTCTTCCAGCCCACGCCGACATTCAAACCGAAGGACTTCAACTGGGGTTCTGACAGCAGCACCCCCACCCCGACCGCCAAACCATAAAGTTATGGTCCAGTCAGTTACGTTTTAGACGGAGCATCCACGCAATCACCCAATCAAACACACAGGGGCTTTATAACTGCAACTTTTAAAAGAAGGCTATTTGCCTCAAGCTGCCTCAATTACATTTAGGTCAATTATGTCACACAGAACATTGAGGAACTGTTGGATGTTGAATAGTTTTCCATCAGTCGACTGAATCTGGGTCGTTCTGACGTTATGTTTGCTTGTTGAGTCAAGTAGGAGGTCAAAGGTGATAGTTTGAATCCCAGTGGATCTGCGGATGGTCTGACCTCTAGCGCCACCGTGAGGTTGACTTTGTGTTAAAACAGTTTTTTGTCAAACATCATCTTCAGGTCATCTTTTTGATATCCCTGAACTAAAAAATCTAAATCAATCAATTCAATTGTCTTTGAGTTCTGGAAAACAAATTTTAGGATGTTTAAAGAAGTGAATAAACAATAGAGATTAAGCAGGAAAACTTTTTAAATGTGGAGGTAAATTCACTCTCGTGATTCAACACTGACTGAACTATGAAAATGTTCGTAGGCCTACGGTTGTTTAATGAATGGACTAATCATCATAGAGGTCCAGACCCTCTCTAGCTGTTTTTACAGCAATTTCTATCCTCAAAATAAACATATTTTTCAGCTTGCTGCAGCGTAGTTTTTGAGCCTTTATGATAAAAACTTTTCAAATGTCGATGCGTGAAGTTTGATGCTTGAGTTATTTGATAAACGGTAACCAAATCAGATGCCTCAACATTTTGCTTTAGTGGGTTTATTTCAGACAAAAGTGACCGGGTTGAGTTTGACAAACCGCTCATCGGGTTCAGAGAACACATGTCCACTTGTTTCTTGTGTTCAGGGAAAGAAGATCAGAAAATGTAAAAGAATTCAGCTTCTTCACATTGTGGATTGTTGGCGTCGGATAATAAATCCTTTATTTTGCTTTTGCTAGAAACTGCTGTTGAGTCCAAAGAGTCAAAGGAAACCGTTGGAGCTGAATCGTACTTTGAGAGGTTTGTGTTTGGATCAGTGCTGCCAGATTGGAATACTTTAGATTTTTTTGCGCTGGCAGATGAACAGTTGGTGAATGTTGAAACATTTTGTGAAAACAATATAACCAAACTAGATGTCATTTAATAAATGAAGAAACACTGAATTCATTAAACTTCATTGTTATTATTGACTCATTTCATTTGAGACATTGACATTCCAACATCTTTTATTGTTATTACTTTAATCAATACAAGAACCCTGGATTTACTCAACATGATTCATGTAAATCTTGTAGGTGAATCATGTGATTTCTGGGCCGTCATTGAACGATGGACAGAGAATAAGCTTCATATTCACGTCGTCTCGGTTTTTGTCTAAAAATAGGAGTTTCTGCTGACGTTTTCCGTCCGACTGAAATGTCTCTCATCCGAACTGAAGAACAACGCTGCCGCTGAATTTGTCTTCTAACTACATTTGTAAAGAGGGAGATTAGAAATGTTACTGATATCAACATGAAACAAATGATTAGTCATATTAAGTTGAGAGGGGCATTTATTGTGTTGATTTTTAAATATGTAGATGAGCCGTTATCTAATGGTCATTTTTGGGTGAATTTAGGAGAAATCTGCAGACAAAGTAATAAAATAAATGGTCCTTCCTTTCCTTCCCAGTGCACGAAGAAAGAGCAGCTAAAGCCTGAAGGAATCATCTTTTATTGGCTCACAGTTCAAACGTCACCGTGTCCAATCACATCCTCAGCAATTTAAACTTTTACAGTGTCGTAAATTCTGCAAACAACAACAAATCTTAAGCCTTCAGTTTTAAAGTGAGCGACACAAGCGAAGCGTCTTCTCAGTCAAAGTTAACTAATTCATTACTACCACAAAACACAGATATTCAAACTAAAACAGCTTCTTCACCTTCTTCATCCTCACTCCACCTTTTCTCAGCTTGCAGAAAAGAGCGTCATTCATACTACGGATCTGAAAATACCTAAATGTACTAAGTACTATCCTTTAATCAAGCGCTGACTTCTTTCTAGCACAAAGGCGTCAGGGCAGCCGCAGCTCTTCTTCATTTCTCTTTGGGCGCGATGTCGTCGCCGCCCGACACGTTTCCCTCCTCGTCCTCGTCCTCGTTCATCCCCTTCAGGTAGGAGCGCTTGAACTCCTGGAACTCCATCTCCTCCTCCAGCTCGCTGCGGAGGAGAGCAGAGTGAGCGAAGAGCAACAAGCAGGAACACGGCAGGCGTTTCTTTACCTCTCCTTCACTGTCGGCAGCAGCAAAGGAAGAAAAGGCAGGAGGAACACGGAGGGTTCGTCAGACACACGTATGTCCATGTAGTTGTTTCAGAGGTAAAGGTTTTAACAGTAAGGTGGATGATCGATGAAAAGAAGTTTAGTTTGCTCACCTGCATCAGGTTTAGGGTGCATCAGTTTGAAGGGAATCTCCACACCGACTTCACTGCATCACAAACCAAAACAAAGGTCCTTACAAATAACACACTGCATATGAGGTAAGAACTACGCCATTTTCTCACTTTCTACTATTCTACTTCCTAATATTGATTGACGGGAACTCACCTTGATCCTATCATCCTGTGAACACGACAGAGGAAAAGATCCAAAATAGTGAATTTCACATCCGTCAGTTACAGAATAACGTGACGGTTCGTGAGGATTCTTTGTGCCACCAAATGAACGAGAAACCAATATTCTCTCTCTTTGCTCCTTTTTGGTCTCCACCTCCATTTGTAGCTACTCTGCTCTGGCGTAAAAACAGTTTTAAAAAGGCCTAAAACCTTCAGGAATAAACAGATACATGATCTGGAGGTCTTTAAACACAAATCCACAAAGGTGCTACTGACCCTGCAACAATGAGCTTCACCATGATTCTGTATGAAACCATGATCCCCATCACCTCCTTCAGCACACCGTCCTTGACGCTAAAAAGATAAAGAAGAAAAGCGCTAATAGTCTGATCGGCTGAGGAGCAGAGCAGATATTTCAAGAAATACATTTGCCAGTAAATCAACGTAATCCTGAAAGAGGATGTGAAAGAAAAAAAGGATTTCCTCTAGATCCAGCGGATCTCCTGGATCCAGGTGATCCAACAAACACTGCGCGGCTCACATGCTGGATGAAGCCAGGTTTGTGTCTTCGTGCTTCAGCTTTCCGTCCACGGCGATGCCTCTCCTCTCCCGGTTGTTGGCCAGCAGAGGCAGCAAAGTGTAGACCTTCTGGAGAGTCGCTCCTGGAGACACCGAATCCCTGGGACACAGAAACATTTGTGACGTCTCTTTGAGGTTTCGGCAAAAGAAAGCTGTGAGGAAGGTTAGAAAATAAAGTTAAACCGATGTAATAAAAACATTTAATGAGGAGCAACTTTAATCCACTTTTCCATTTAATTTGACTTATTTGACAATCAATCAAAACAAAGACACTTTCCTTGTTTTCCAATGAAATCATTTTTACAAACCTTTAAGACTGATCAAACTTTGAGCTGAAAAGTTTTCAAATGTCAGATATCTTCTTTTATACAACTTAAAGACCACGTGATCCATCTTCTGTTAAAGTTCACCAAAGTCTGAAGGTATCGAGTCTGGGTTAGGGGTTAGGGTTATGAAATCAGATTCAGGCTCCTTTGAGTTTCAGCACTAGAGTTAAAATCCAGGTTTTAGTTCAGGTACCAGCACCTGGTCCAGCAGCTTCAGCGGGTTAACAACCACGATGCAGATGTGAATCATCAGCCAGCATCGTATAGTACAGGAGTTTCTAGAAGGCTGTAGCTGATATCTGTACACATGGCATCCATTGTAGTCTGTCCATCCCTGGAGAGGGGTCCTCCTCTGACGTTCTCACTAAGGTTTCTTCCCTTTTTTCATTTTTTGGGGAGTTGTTCCTGTGCTGATGTGAGAGTTTCAGGACAGAGGATGTCGTTCGTGTACAGACTGTAAAACCCTCTGAGGGTAATTTGTAATTTAAGATTTTGGGCTCTACAAAATAAAATGAATTGAATTGATATCAACAGTTTAGTGGTCCTTTCTTTATTCGATTCAAAGCTCAGTTCTTTTTGTGGGGGTCTAAACATCACACTGGTCTACACCGACTAGAGGATGAAAACCCTCCTCGTCTTTTGGGGAAACGTAGCTCGTAGCTTACCCGGGTTCCTCGATGGCCACAGATTTGACGTAGCAGTCGTTGGAGTACAACACCACCGTGGAGACCTGATCCACTGAGGAGGACGAGAACAGACTTACTTTCACACTTGTTCATGCAACAAGACCTTCAGAGAGGAATGAATACATTGAAGCAACGAGTCTCCTCTAAGCTGGAATAGAAGCCGCCATGTTTACCAGAGACGATGACGTTCTTGATGGTTTTGCTGGAATGGTTGGTCACGATGACGTGCACTTTGACGCAATCACCGTGGTAGTAGATCTGGAAACAAGACATCAGGTCCAAGAGCCCAAACAACACGTCATCCTTTCATCCTCAGACAGAATTTATCACTGGATGTAAAGGGTAACATCTCACACGACAGTAATGTCTGTGAATCAAAGCAACTTCTACCAAAGCACCCGGTTTCATTGTGTCCTTTCATCTGCAGGTGTTACAAGGGATCACCTGAGATCACCCGAGATCACCTGCGACTACAGCGGACAGCGCTCACCTTCCTATCCGAGCTATCTCACTGTAAGGAGGAAACAACGTGCTGCTGATTTGAAGAATCGTAGGAACAGTTCAGAAGGTCTCCAGGTCTCGATGAGGACGACGACTCTACGGTGTGAAAAGGCGTCTGAACAGATCAGAACTCGCTGGTTGAAAAACAGACTTCCCGGATCCGTGAACTCTTGTTCCATTCGGCTGCTTTCAGGGCCGTTCAGCCGGATCGCTCACAGCGAGAGAGGAAACTGGAACTACGAGATTCCACCGTGGTGTTTCTGCGTGATGGAGCGACTCCTTTTAGCTTTTATTATTCACTAATTGCCACACGGAGGTGTAACTCCGCGACTCACTGGTGGGGATCTCGGCCATGTGCACCATGTTGGCAGCGAATAGAAGTGGATTCTTCTGCGATTACGTTGTCCAGGTGATGATAGCTGGTAAACGTAACCTCCACCGTTCACTCTTAGTATTTGACTATTAACCCTGATTCCAGGGCGGAGCCTCAGTATCATTATTACTAATGTTGTTATCAATAATTGTATTAATGTCAACATTTTAGTTTTCATACGCGCTCCTGACGTGCACAGGTTCCATGAAGACCATCACCTGAAGAACTGAAGGCCAAACATGCAGATGTTACGAGCTGCAGGTAATCAAAGATAAACACCTCTTTGTCCAGACTGGCCTTGACGTGCAGCGGTTTGTCCGACATGACAAAGTCCCGCGTGGTCTCCACGGACGGAGCCGCGCCCTCCGTCTCCGGAGCGTACTGCACCTTCCTGATGGTCAGCTTCACGGAGCTCCTGTTGGACCAGGAGACACATGGGTCAATAGGAAGCAGAGTCGATACTATTTTAGTGTTTGGAACGTTAGAGACAAAAGCAAACCGATGGATGAGGACGCAGTGGGGGGGTGAAGAAGAACAACGTTGACATTAATACAGAATGTTGGGAACAAACTCAGGATCTGTTGAACAAATAACTTAAGAAACATTTCGGACAGCTGGGAATAATGTCAAGAAATAACTAATAAAGGTGAAATGTTGAGAATAAAGTTAAAATGTTGAGTATTGACTAACCCTAACCCTAACCCCTAACCCCTAACCCTAACCCCAAATGAAAATGTCGATACTAAAGTTGTTGAGATGAAACTTGAAGAGATCTTAAGGATTACAGTTGGAAGTGATTTGGAGCGTCGGTTTGAGGGCATGAAGTCGTACTTTCCACGTTCTCCGCGACGCTGAGGCGACTCACCGTTTGCGGATCTTGGCGTCTTGGCTCTCGGCGCTGAACGCGTGGATCTCGAACTCCACGGCACATTGCTGCAGAAGAAGAGAGAGCCGTCAGCGTCCAGAGGCGGGTCGCGCCGGTTCGATCCCCCGTCGGGTCTTACCTTGCCGCCGTCTTGGGCCGACGGCTGGAGAGCCACTGAGCAAGGCAGGTTGTCGGGAAACTGAGGGGACGAGAAGACGCAGTCCGTCACACTTCACCGCCACGAGATCGACACTTAAACGAGCGATTAAATAACAGCTGAGTTCATCAGTTATTCATCATCAACTGATCGGTGTTTGGACAATTGTGCAGCTGTTTTATTTGTAGAAACTATTTTATAGATGGTTTTAAATTGTGAAAATGTTTCTTAGTGGAAATGTTACGGTTCACTTTTAGACTTTCTGTGTCTCTTCGTGGTTCTTTAGAACTCTTCATAGTCATCTAGAGCTCTTTGTGTCTTCATGATGCTTTTGAGTCTCTTCCTGGTTGATGGTCTTTTTCAAACACACTGATATCTGGTCTTCATTCTGTCGGTGAGGTTTCAGGGCGATGAAGATGATGATGAAGGTCAGTTTCACTAGTTCATGTGAAGTTCTCTGTGCTGTGAGACGTCACCTCGAAGAAGAACGGGTAGGCGTCTTGTCCCAGCTTTCGCAGCAGCTTGGCCTGCGTCCTGGTGTGGGTCCCCTTCTCGCGGTCCTGCAGGGCCGGGTACACCTGGCGGGTGGACAGGTACAGCTCGCGGCGGAAGGCGATGCCCATCACGTCCATGTCGTCTCTGCCGTAGCGAAAGGTGCAGGACAGGGTGACGAAGACTGGAGGACAGAGGACGGACTGAGCTGATCACACGGGTGTGGGAACACACACAACTCACTTAATATTCTGCACTATTTTTATACAGAAAATGGCTACATTGTCCTTAAGTGTCCGTTTTGATGAGAAGAAAGAGCAGAAAGACAAACAGGAAGCAGGATGGAATAAAAAGTGCCGATTGACCAAATGACGAAGAAGACACAGAAATGTGTTTGAATCCACATAAAAGAAATTAAGACATTTCCAAAGGAGAGATGTTTCTAAGATGAACAAATGAAATAATGAGTCTTGAACTCGACACCCTGATCCCATGCTGAGCGGTGCGTTCAGGGACCGACCTTTCCTCCCCTGCAGAGCCTCGGGATCGATCAGGATGACGCCATCTAGTGGTGGAAGAGGGTCAAAGGTCATTTCAGCCTTCAGCGGGAGGATCGTCTTTTACTTGATATGGTTTGTGTGTGAGGAAACTCACCCACTGGATCCACGGAGTCCACTCGGTCCACAAAGTCCCGTCTCCCCATGTAAACTGCAACCTTCAACCGTGGTTCATTTTAAAGAGATTTTAATGTTGGATAATGAAAAATCAGAGGTACGTAAACAAGAATCATTTTGTAAAGCGTTTCAGAGCATCAACGTTTGAGCAGCAGCGACTTTGTGTCGACCTCCTGCGGTCAGCTGACCCGTTTACGTGATTAAATCCAGTGAAAGGAGCGAGGAGCTTCAGGTGTATAAAGTCCTTCATCGCGTTTATTAACGACGCTGGTTTCATCTCTCAGTTTAATCCAAAAACTGTTCTCCACCAAAAGGTTGTGTCTGTTTTATTTGGTAATACTTTCATATAATTGAGTATTTGCTGTTCTATCTGGTACTTTGATGATCATGTGACCTGTCACCTGATATAACCTCTATAACCGTGTAATAAGAGATGATTCACTCACCGACTTGTCTTTGCAAATCTTCTTGAAAACGACATTTTTGGGGTTCATGTTGGTTCAGAAGTCGGCGACGACTGAGAGAGAGAAAGAGACACAGAGTGATGTCATGACCAGGACCAGGACCAGGACGAGACTGGGACTAGTCCCCATAGAGGACCAGGACGAGACTGGGACTAGTCCCCATAGAGGACCAGGACGACACTGAGACTAGTCCCCATAGAGGACCAGGACGAGACTGGGACTAGTCCCCATAGAGGACCAGGACGAGACTGGGACTAGTCCCCATAGAGGACCAGGACGAGACTGGGACTAGTCCCCATAGAGGACCAGGACGAGACTGAGGACCAGGACGAGACTGAGACTAGTCCCCATAGAGGAACAGGACGAGACTGGGACTAGTCCCCATAGAGGACCAGGACTACACTGAGACTAGTCCCCATAGAGGACCAGGACTACACTGAGACTAGTCCCCATAGAGGACCAGGACTACACTGAGACTAGTCCCCATAGAGGACCAGGACTACACTGAGACTAGTCCCCATAGAGGACCAGGACTACACTGAGACTAGTCCCCATAGAGGACCAGGACGAGACTGAGACTAGTCCCCATAGAGGACCAGGACTACACTGAGACTAGTCCCCATAGAGGACCAGGACTACACTGAGAACCAATAGAGTTTCTGTTGTGCGTCGTAGTGGATCAATATGAATATTGATGTTAGTTGCGTTTGAGATCTGAACAGACGGCCGAGCTTCTTAATCCCTGAAAACTGAAGCGAACTCTTCTTCGGACTTCTCTGGATTTCCATCCCTTTGGAATCAACAAACGTTTTTGCTGTAATCGATCAATTTAGTAGACGTATAATAATCAGGTCATTTTCAATATAAGATTATTATTTACAGAAAAGCTTGTAAACGTCCAAAGTTCAAAAGACGTTTCATAGACTGGCTGATTTTATCTTATTTTAAATTAACATACATTTTATTTACATCTCGCATTTATCTCATGAGGTCAGCAAACTAACCCTAAAACCAGAGAGACTCACCGTACTCAGCGATGAAGACGAGCTGCGATGAAGACGAGCTGCGATGAAGCTGAGGCCAGAGGCTCTATATGTAAACACCTGCTGTCCGTCACCCCACCCCCTCTGCCCTCTGTAAGCCAATCAGGTGAGCCGGCTGTGAACTTTGACCAATCCCTTAGTACTCAGCCATCCTCTTCCTCCTCCTCCTCCTCCTCCTCCTCCAGCATCCAGTGAGGCTTCCTGTGAATGAGGCTGCTGAGAGGATTGAGCCGGTTCCCCTTCAGTCAGCACAAAGCGTCGGATTAGAGACGGAGAACAAACAACAACGACAACAGAACCAGAATTAAAACACTATTCTGCAAAAACGTACAATGCAGAGAAAGATGAATCCTCTAGTAATAATGATTAAAATGCTAATAAGGATTAACTTTACAGATTATATGAAAAATAATCGCAAATACATACAACTGTAATGTGATTCTCTAATACTGTGCTTACCTTGAAGTAGGCGGAGTGATGACGTCACTATTGGTCTGCGCCATTTTCACAGTCGCCATCTTGGACAGTGTCTTTTCTCAGCGTGTAGCCCCGCCCTAAAGCGTCCCCTCTTTATGGTCTGTGTGACTCTAAATGGACCATCAGTCACTAAATGAACATCATGTTGTATTGAAGACGACTTTAAACTAGAGACTGAGACCATAAACTCATGTTTACAATGTTTACTGAGGGAATAAATCAAGAGAGAAGTAGAGTCATTTCCTCATAGACGTCTATGGGAGCAGAGGAGTCGCCCCCTGCTGGTCACTACAAGAGAAAGTAGAGTTATTTCCTTCATAGACGTCTATGGGAGCAGAGGAGTCGCCCCCTGCTGGTCACTACAGAGAAGTAGAGTAATTTCCTCATAGACGTCTATGGGAGCAGAGGAGTCGCCCCCTGCTGGTCACTACAGAGAAGTAGAGTAATTTCCTCATAGACGTCTATGGGAGCAGAGGAGTCGCCCCCTGCTGGTCACTACAGAGAAGTAGAGTCATTTCCTCATAGACGTCTATGGGAGCAGAGGAGTCGCCCCCTGCTGGTCACTACAGAGAAGTAGAGTCATTTCCTCATAGACGTCTATGGGAGCAGAGGAGTCGCCCCCTGCTGGTCACTACAGAGAAGTAGAGTCATTTCCTCATAGACGTCTATGGGAGCAGAGGAGTCGCCCCCTGCTGGTCACTACAGAGAAGTAGAGTAATTTCCTCATAGACGTCTATGGGAGCAGAGGAGTCGCCCCCTGCTGGTCACTACAGAGAAGTAGAGTCATTTCCTCATAGACGTCTATGGGAGCAGAGGAGTCGCCCCCTGCTGGTCACTACAGAGAAGTAGAGTAATTTCCTCATAGACGTCTATGGGAGCAGAGGAGTCGCCCCCTGCTGGTCACTACAGAGAAGTAGAGTAATTTCCTCATAGACGTCTATGGGAGCAGAGGAGTCGCCCCCTGCTGGTCACTACAGAGAAGTAGAGTCATTTCCTCATAGACGTCTATGGGAGCAGAGGAGTCGCCCCCTGCTGGTCACTGCAGAGAAGTAGAGTCATTTCCTCATAGACGTCTATGGGAGCAGAGGAGTCGCCCCCTGCTGGTCACTACAGAGAAGTAGAGTCATTTCCTCATAGACGTCTATGGGAGCAGAGGAGTCGCCCCCTGCTGGTCACTACAGAGAAGTAGAGTCATTTCCTCATAGACGTCTATGGGAGCAGAGGAGTCGCCCCCTGCTGGTCACTACACAGAAGTAGAGTCATTTCCTCATAGATGTCTATGGGAGCAGAGGAGTCGCCCCCTGCTGGTCACTACAGAGAAGTAGAGTCATTTCCTCATAGACGTCTATGGGAGCAGAGGAGTCGCCCCCTGCTGGTCACTACAGAGAAGTAGAGTCATTTCCTCATGGACGTCTATGGGAGCAGAGGAGTCGCCCCCTGCTGGTCACTACACAGAAGTAGAGTCATTTCCTCATAGATGTCTATGGGAGCAGAGGAGTCGCCCCCTGCTGGTCATACA